CATATAAAAAATCACTGCCATCAAGTGGATTAAACTCATAGCAACCCCTCCTTGGGTTTCTGAGGTGGTATCTCTATGAACTAGATTGCCAAGTCTTCCTTCCTATGAGTTGCTGATGGGTTTGAACTGACAACCATCTGGTTAGAAGACAATGCCTTAGGCACTATGCCACCAGAGCTCCCATGTACTTATATACATACACACAAATGAGTATATAAAACAAATATTGACATCTGAATGGACTCTGAATTGTATCTATTTTCTGGATTTTTTACTGCACTATATGCGAGATGTTACATCACTGGGGAAAACTGTGAAGAGTATGTGGGCTTCCCTGTCAGTTTTTTTTCCCCCACCTGTGAAACTATTTCAAAATAAAAGTTTAAAACAAAGTAGGGAGCAGATTAGTATGATGGTATATAAATATTTCTGAATGAGCCCAGGAATGAATAATCATAGAGAAAAAGTAATTGTCACTGTGGATAACTGGTCTCGTTCAATTCTTAAGAATTTAGTTATTAGTAAAAAGATAAAACACTATTGTGAAAATGGCATGGCAACATGTGATCCCAGGGGGATCACCAGTAGCAGCAGCAGCAGCAGCAGCACCAGCAGCAAAAGGCTGATTCCTATGAGCTGGAGATCACGTATCCAACCTCACTCCAACCGTTTTACGAATTCAGACACCAGCCGTCCCTCCTTAGGGTACTTTGTTGGGTTCAAAGATGCACTGCAATGGCCACACAAAAGTCACAAAAAATATTCACAGGGAATTTATTTAGAAAGTAACAGGTTACAATTTAGGTTCAGGAACACTCAGGATACAGTTTTTTCAATCAGGACAGGATCTTCTCAGCCATGGCACAAACAAGCATCTCTGGCTTTCAGACACTCGGACCTATCAGGCAGGCTCTGCCTATGTCATGTTCTGGCAAGTGTTACAAAGCTCTTTAGCTCTGCCAAAAAGTGCCCAGACATAACATACTATACAAAACATTGTTCCACCT